TCGTCCATCTCCTACTCCTCCTGCCTCCTCCTGCTCTTCTCCTCCTCCTCCTCCTCCTCCTCCTCGTCCTCGTCCTCCTCCTCTTCCTCCTCCTCCTCCTCCTCATCCTCCTCCTCCTCCTCCTCCTCCTCCTCCTCCTCCTCCTCCTCCTCCCCGCCCAAGTCCGGACCTGCAGCGCGTGTCCCCAAGAGCGGGCGCGCCGAAACCAAAACTTACATGTCCGGCTCAGGCTAGACCTTGTTACCCTGGGGGGGAGTCTCCCTTCTGTCAGGGCTTTGAGCACGCGCCTGCCCCATTCGCCCACGCGATCAGGTTGGCGCGCTCCCCCCAGCTTGACGAATTTCCCCCGTGTCCCCGTGGCCCCGCAAACCTGGCACCATAAAACTCCCTTGCGAAACTCGAGCCTATGCGAGGGGTCGATGCCATGCGGAACCTGGGCGCAGGGGGTGGCAAACCAATCCAACTTCTTCAGGTCAGCCGTCGGTCGTGTGTGGCACAGGGAGCGTCTGACACCCTTCGAGTCCGAGACTACCCGATGGGCCGACACGGCCGCCGCCGACACAACCTTGAGCGCCCGCTCCTTGCCCCTGACGTTGGCTTCAGCCGCCCTCGCGGCCTTGGAGCTGGGGCCATACAGCTCGGGCGCTCGTGACGCAACATGCAGAAAAACAGCGACTAAGTCCTCTTGCACCTTGTACGTGAGCTCATCTACTCAGCACACCTCGGAGATCGCATGTCCTGGGGGTTGGCTCCTCCGAACTCCTACCTCTGCAGCCGCGTCGGCAGCCCCGCTGGCGAGCAAAAAGAAAACTGGGGGGCCACCCTCCCGTTCGGGAGCAGGGCGGGCGTGGCCCTTGACCTTCACCACGCTGATCTGCCGATCGCCCGCCTCCGCCCAAAACAAACGCCAAGGTCCGACAATGACAGGGGGTACATACTGACGGCCTCATTGGAAGGTCCGTATGGTAATGGACGAGTCCACTGCAAACGTGGCAGCTCCCCGAGTGTGCCTCAAAGCCTGAATGGCTCCTTCAAATTCGGCCAAGGGAACAGTTTGCTTGTAGCCAGGCAGGGGCCCATGGCCCCACCCCAGCAGTCTATAATCCCCGGTGATGGAAAACCCCCACTCACGGCGTCTCAGCCCGGGCCCCGACGAGCACGGCCCCCCCGACCCATCCGCCCCCACAACCACGTCCCCATCCTCCAGGTCGATCGGCCCAGGCTCGAGACTGGGGGAGACTACAGGATCGCTAGGAACATCGATCAAGGTTGGTCCGCTCGTCCACCTCGAAGGTGGCAGCCCCCTTAACCAAAAACATGGAAAATCACACCACCCGTCCGTTGCCTCCCGGAGCAGCGCTGGATGCGCGTCGTCAAGACCAACATTGCTGGGACATTCCGAAAGCTGGTGAACAGTCTTGCCGGACGGGGCCCCGCAGGGCGGGCGAGAAGGGGTGGCCCAACTCCTAGCCTCCTCCTCCTCCTCCTCCTCCTCCCCAGCGGCAGGGAACGAGCCATCCTGCCTGGCCTCCATGTCTAGCATCTCTGCCAAGTCAAATTCATAATCGAACGTGCCTGGGGCCGCAACTGGCGGCACCCCTGCGGCGCTGGCAGGCGACGGTCGAGGGGGGGAGGAGGGCGCAGGACTGGAGGCAAGCAGCGGGGGAGGTCGAGCCGATTCCTCTCCAAACCTCCTGGCCGCTGGCCATAAACTGCAAGTCAAAACCATTCGCCACACCGCGGCCCGATCCCACTGATTCCTTCTCTCGAGCCGCTTCGTGTGGCGAAACGGAACTGTGAAATCAGCACTGTGCCCCAGCCCCCTGCCCAAGTGGCGAAGGGCCGCCTTGCCCCAAATCTGGGCATCAAGCGATCCGCCCAGCTCGAAATCTACGAGCAACTCGCGGTCATTTTCCCTTAAGTCAAAGGCCAGCTGGGTTGGTGAAATCAATAGCAACGGCTCTGGCGCCGACCACGCAATGTCCTGGAGGCAGGCAGTGACGGCGGAGACAAGTCCTTTCACAAGGCCCCAACGACGTTTGGCGGCTTGGGGCTGTGGCCAAGCCATTTTCCTAGCTAGCACTAGTGTGCGCTCGGACTGTTGCAGCACCGCAAGCAGGAGATCGATCCGCACGCGGAACGCTCGTAGCCTGCCGAACACCAGCGGGTCCTGATCAGACCCCATCATCAAATTGATAGCTGCAGTGGCGCACCCACCCTCGTAGCGCGCTCCAGACAGGGCAGCTACCTGGGCTCTCGGCCTCATCAGCGTCGAGGGGGCCAGCCCTGTACCTTCGCGCCCCCACGTCGCTTGCGGCAAAAACCCAGATCTCCCCAATGCGCGAGCCTTCGGGGTGATCTTAACAACTTGCGCGATCACCTTGGCGCGACCCGCGGCCGAGGCCAAGCGTTTCTTCTGGGTTGCCACGCTGCGTCTAGAGGCAGTGGCGCCAATCCCCCGGTCCTCGGTGACCTGTGAGGTACTGACATGCAAATCGTGGGCCGCCAGCGCAGTCTGAATTTCGGAGGCCAAGTGCTCTTGCTGGAGACCTTAGGGCCCCCCCCCCCTGAGTACGCAGCCTCCAAAACTTCCTACCAACCTGCACGCTCTTCGCGCCCACCTCTCTAGAATGCCCCACAACCCGCTGCGAACAGCCGCCCACCCAAGAGTCGAGTTGGAGGGGTCGGAAGGAGGCGTGCAAGTCCTGCGGGATCTCAAAAAGCCCTTCCCTGGCCACATCCAAAGACTGGTTACATCCCGCGAAGACCCCCCACCAGGAGTGAATAACTTCGCTGAAACAATCCTCCGCTCTCGCCCCCCCTGGGGCAAAGTGGATTTGCGCGGCCACGAACAGGTGATGCATCGGGTACCCTGTAGCTCGCCCGAGCCTGGAAATCTCCAAACATCGCAGGTGATCGTAAAGCTCTTCCATGTCCCACAGGATCTCAGCCCAGGACAGCCCCTAGATAGTTGAAGCCTCGAGCTGGAGTTGGCGCATGATCGCCGCCCTTAAAGCAGATCTCCCTCTGGCGGCCTTGTCCCAGAATCGAGCCCCGCCCTTCCAAGTCGCCCGCGTCGCCACCGCCCCCCGCCTCGCAACCGCCCAACATCTGCACAGACCTTGAGCGAGGGTGATCGGTCGATCAGCAGCCGGCGATTTGTGGAGCAGCTGCACCACATTCTCGCGGACCTGGCTAGGCCAAAGCATCGCGTGTCGGAGCAATCCTGACAACTGCTCTCGACCAGCCAGGGGAAGCTGGCCCCAGTGCTTCGGATTTTGGCCGTCCAGGCCCATTCCGATCACGGGACTGAAACTCGCGAGGGCAGCGCATAGGCCGGCCATCTCAACAGGGCGAGGCTCGTCGCACGCTGCGCGGGCACGGGCTCTAAACTCGGGCCACCAGTCTTGGTCCTGAAGGGGGCCCCTGAGCTCCACCCCGCGGGCGCCGCAGCGCCGCCCGCGCAGCAGCCTTGGCCGCGACAGACCGCAGAGGGTCCACAATACGGCCCCCCCCAGGGCTATGTTCTGGGGCCAGGGCGGGGGCCGGTCCCTCCCACGTCTTGGCGCAGCGATGGAGGCCCCCCCCCCGCCCTTTCTTTCAACCCTCTAAGGCCCATTCTTTAAAAACCCTTTCGAGGCTTCCCGCTCGTGGAAACGCTCAACACCTCAGACGACGCGAAAGCGCTCCTTGGCCAGAGCCTGGGGCCTCTGCTGGCCCCCGAGGTCCGGAGGCGGGGAGCTCTCGAGCCGACCCAGAAACGGCTCATCAGCTTCATCGGGCAGCACAGGCGGGGGGCCACGGCATCTACTAACTTGTCTCTGCAGGCTATCCCACCCCTTTCGCCGAAGGTGGATGGCCCGTCCTTTTTGCGCCATGCCCAAGCACTCAAGCAGGCGGCCCTCGAGGGCACTCAACTTGGCTACTCCGGAGGCGCGGGCCATCCACCCCTTCGGCTTGGGCGGGACAACCTGGACCTCCTGGGCCGCATCCTTGAAGCCCCTCTCGGCGCACGCGCGGTGGTGCACCCCTCTCTCCACCCCCCTGCTCAGCAGCAGCTCCTCGGCCGCCAGGGCGAGGGCCATGTAGCTCTCGCTCACCTCCCTCTCGATCCCCACAAGCCCCCGCATCCCTGGCCGCGACGTGCCGTCCTCGAGGGTCGCGTTGGCCCTCTCGCGGAAGAACTCCCATGGTCTGTCAGGTCCACGCATGCGACCCGTGATGGGCAGCGGCGCCCGCGCGACGCGCTGCCCCAGGTTGAAGGCTGACGTCCCGAGGACACCATTGAGCCCAACATGCGGCGCCGCCCAAAGGGAGAACTCACCCCAAGAAGCATCGATTGCGCACCGAAGGGAGTCCGAGGCACACATGTCATCGATCAGTCTCTCACCAGCAGGATGTGTACCTGGAGCGATCCATTCGCCACCTACGGCATCGAAGCCTGCTGGTTTCACTTCATCCAACGTCATGTCCCAGTCTGCCATGACCACGAACACCAAACCCTTGAGCCTCAGGTACTGCCCAATCTCCGACAACAGGGAAAGGTCCGGCTCGGCCAGCCCTACACCCATGCGAAATTTGCAGACACAAGGGCGAAATCAACTGAACGACACCGAACCCAATGTACTGCCCACTGATTAGGTAGCACCGGCTTCCCGTCTGGATAAAAGAACCCCCCATCGGCCATGGGCGTCCTGGTGTGTAGCGCTGATCTGGCGAATACTGCAACACCACCAAGCCCCTGACGGCCTCCGTTGACCGTCGGCTGGGATATGATGACACTTCCTCTCCATTCCTGTCTACGCAAACTCTTCGTCATCTCCGTGAGCTTGGGCCCCATCAGGTGGTGCTCCACTGAACCAACCAGCTGCGGCGGCGGGGCGTCGGCCTGCTGTACTCCCGCCTGCGCGAGCGTCCAGCACTTGACCTGGTCATTCGCCTTATCCCCATGGATCGTCATATTGGCAAAGTGGAACCGAAACTCATCCTCATCAGGCTTATCACCCACGCTTCGGCCTCTTGTACCCCATGGTGCGCAGGTGCTCGAGCAAGTTCCACTTCTCGCCCTTGGATGCCTGCCAGAGGGCGTCCACGTCGTGATCATCTGGCTCCTCGGCTGATTCGCCGCCGCCATCGGCATCTGCATCACTGCCACCAGGAGCCGAAGTAGGAGGTGTCCTGGCACGGAACCCTCAGTTCTCCTTGACCTTGTCCTGGTAGCGCTTCCATGCTCGCGAGGCGAGCATGTATTTGACCTCTTGGTCGACACCGAACCCTGCCTCATCGCAATCGAAGAACACGTCATCAGGGATGGTGCTCGCCAGCGCGCGCTTGGCCTGCACAATCTCTGCGTCGAGCTTGATTATGGCTTCGTCCTGCTTGCCGATCTCCTGGATGGCTGCAGCCTTAGCCTCCTCCTGCTTTTTCTTCTTCTGGACCGCCACCGCGCGTTTGCGCTCCAGCTCTGCGAGCACGTGGCCCGCGTTGGTGTGCTGGGTGATATGCGGCTTGAGCTTCTGGAGCTGTTCTCGAGTCTCCTTGGTTTAGCCTGGAGCCCCAAGACGAACTCCTGGTCCTTCTCCGAATCCAAGTTCTGGATGGTCTGCGACAGCACCTCGATCCGTTCACGAAGCTTGTCCGCCTCGTCCTCCTTCGGGTTCGGATCCGACTTGGGCCCCCGACTTGAGCCCGTCCCCGCTGGGGGGGCTGCGCCAGGACCACCCGTGGTCATCCTTTCGATCTTGGAGGTGAGCGCTGCGATCTGCTTGGCTTGAGCCTCGAACTTCGCCGCCCAGGGCCCTGGCGGTGAGCCGCTTGGCCCCCCCCGCTCCCTCCGTTGGCGGCCTTGTCTGCAGCTTTCGCTTTGTCCACAATCGTTCTCGGCGCGGCGGCCCCGCAATCACACTGGACCCGCGAGGCCCAGTTGGCCGACCTGCCGCATTGCCCACAGCCCCAGTGGGGTGTCTTCGGCCCCTTGGGTACTGTGCGGCGCCCATCCATCTCCAATCCGCGCTGGGTCGTGAAAGCCCTCGCGGGCGGGAAAGAACTGTGCTCCCTCAGGAGCTCACTGGAAGAGGGGCCTGGCGGGCGAGGCTACGCCGCATGCCTACCCGCATACCCCAAGTCGCTGTCCTGGCCAGCTGCCTTGGCAAATGGCAACTTGAGCCAAAATGGATTGAGCCAAAATGGCTACGGCCTCCTCCTCCTCCTCCTCCTCCTCCTCCTCCTCCTCCTCCTCCTCCTCCTCCTCCTCCTCCTCTTCCTTCTCCTCCTCCTCCTCCTTCTCCTCCTCCTCCTCCTCCTCCTCCTCCTCCTACCTCTGGTAGTGGTGGTGGGAAATCGGACCATCGGAAGCAACATCGGCGGGGCGGCCGCCGACCAGAAGCCGCGCGCTGCAGCGGATCTACGCCATGGCCACATGAGCGGCGCCCATGGCTCCGCAGCGCGCCCGCCCGCGGCCGCCTGGGAGCCTCCCGGAGCGCGCGCAGCACTCGGGGTCCCGCAGAGGGCCGAGCTCGAGGCAGCCGGATGAAGAGCGGCGCAGGCACCCTGCCGATGCACCACATTCTTCCCAATGTAGAGAGCAGAAAATCCACCCTCGTAATAATCACCCCCACGCGAAGCCGTTTAGTAAACGCACCCCAAGAAGGAATCCGAGAGGGCAGGGCTGTTCAGTAATTAAACGCCCAGGGCCGTAGAGCAAACACCAATTATCGGGTCCGGGTGGTTTTTCCTCCCTTTACAATGAACCCTGAAGTGCGACGGCGTTGACCCCTCTTCTCTCTTTCCTTTACACTTCGGAGATCTACTGACCCCGCTCAAATCAAACCTGGGTCAGTCAGGCCTTACAGGATCCTGCAAGATCCCGCAAGATCCTGCAGGTTCCTGCAAGATCCTGCACCCAAACCCGGATCAGTGCGCCCCTGGCTTTGCAGGATACTGCAAGATCTGGCGCTACCCCGGTTTATATTGACCCTCGTCTCAAGGCTCGCGGCCTTCTTCCGCCAAGCTTCCACCGGCTTCCGCCGCCCTGCCCTGCTTTTTCTTCCGCTGGCTTCCGCCCCCCGGCGAGAGATCACCGCCTCGACTCCTCGAAGGAGTGGCTGTGGGCACCCTTCCTCGCGGAGAGCCCCAGAGGTCCGCGAGCCCAGAAGGCCTCAGGACGGAGGCCTCTGGATGGGCAGACGGGGAAGGAGAGCGAGGAGGAGGCGCTCACAGAGTCCGCCCAGCCTGCGCTGGCCTTCGGGCCAAGATTTTGGGAGCGTGAAAAGCTGGGGCAGGGCCAGAGGTGGGGTTAGAGGCAAATCGCTCTGGATGGCCCCTGGAGGAATCCAAGATCAGCCACAGGTTGGGCTTGCTCCCTAAGCGCACCTTGGGATACAGCCCCCACTGCGCGACTAGAGACCTTCCAAATGGTGTTCAAGCAGATGGGGTCGGAGGATCGCACCGCATCGCCGATGGTTCACGATGAGTCGCCGATGCATTGGCGTCGTCGGCGGTGCAGCGGCGACGCCAGCGCGAAGAACGTCGCACTCCACATCGAGCCACACCCGCATCGCCGATGCATCGGCGATGCGGCGCGATCCTCCGACCCCACCTACCCGGACCCCATCCGGGATGCCCAGCGCTGCACTGCTAGACAAGCGCATTCCAGTAATCGCAAAGTAACTACTCGCAAATGGCCTGGATCCGCCATGGGGGGATTTGCGAGAGATCTATAGAGAGAGAGAGAGAGAGAGATTACATCGAGGCAGACGTGTGTTTTTCTGACGTTTGCGAGTAGGCACTTTGCGAAAAGCGGAAAGCATTCGGTGAACCGCGCCCCGCCCCGCCGCGACCGCCACGCGCGCGTGCCCGCGGGGTCCTGGCGATCTGCAGCGGGCTCCCCTGGAGCCTCCCGGACAGCACCACCAGGCCTGTGCTCTCGCTCAGGGCCTCGGCCACCGGCGCCGACGCAAACGGAGGCCACGTGCAGTCAGCCCATACAGTACAGTAGGGGCCCGACCACAAGAAACCTTCCACAAGAAACCCAACCCTGAGACCCCAGGACGTCCATCGATGTTTGATGTGGGAACGTTACGATTTCCATGGCAAAACCATCGAACCAAAGAAACCCAGGGCACCCTGGAGGCAAGCAGGGTGTTTCTTGGCATGGGCCCCCACTGCACGTGCAGTCAGCCCATACAGTAAGGATGCGCGGCGGCGGTGCAAGGGCCTCGGAAGGCCATGTTGGCATTTCTCGAGTGGGGCTGGCCAGCGAAAGTGGCCAAGGCTGGGCCGAAGGGGAAGGCTGCAAGGGTAGCCTTGAAAAGCTGCTGATCCTTGCTGTGCGGGCTGACTGTATGACAGCGGCCACGGCGGCGGCTGCGACGAGGCCGACAAGGAAAACGTAAAAGTGCATGTTGGGAGGGAGGGGCGAGGGGGGGCTGGGCGGGACGCCGAGGGGGGAAGGTACAGAGGGGGCAGGCCTTCTCAGAAGGTGGGAGGCCTTCTGAGCCCTTCTGGGAAGGCCCGCCCCCTCTGCCTTCTCCCTTGGGAGCGCCGCTGAAGGGCGGGTGGGGGGGGTTCGGAGTTTTCTTTGACAGTTCCGGGTGTTTGGAGAGGGATTGTATAAGATGGAGGCGGGTCAGGAGAAGGGAGAAGGGAGGAGGAGGAGGGGATGGGAGGAGAGGGGAGGAGAGGGGAAGAGAGGTGAGGATAGGGTGGATTGTAGTGCAGCGGTGACGCCCTTGCCAGAAGGCACATTCCTGCCGTGGTCGGGTGGAGCTCCTGGGATTTCCGATCCTTGGGCGGGTCGATGCTCGTGAAGGTTGACATCACACGCCATCCGATGGAGTCTGGCACACGGGCCTGGTTCCGCATGGGGGAGAACGTCAGGGGGGACTGGCTCAAGGGGGGAGAAGCCATCGATCTGGATTCGGCTACATCTCCGAGTAAGGGCCTGACAGCCCACCCCGCACAGGAACGTGCGGATTCGCCATCGGGGACACATCGCCGATCTATCGGCGATGTATCGCCGATTCCAGCTCGATGTCCCCCCCTCCCCCCTGAACCTACCCCCCCCGAACGTTGCCCCTAACGGATGGATTGATCGCAGGAGTGTGCAAATGCACTGGCACACATTGTGACAGCCGCCTGTGCTCACTCTACGGGAAAGAGGCGCGCACACTGCGACACGGGCGTCCCCAGGCAGCTCCTCGAGGAGCGGCCGCTACACGAAACACACATCAAGCCGTGCACGAATCGGGGCAGATCCAGCATCTGCGGGATGTCGACCCAAGTGGGCCTGTGGCTCGCTCATCCTGCGAGGTGTTCAGGGGCAGCACTCTCCTGAGGTGATCAGAAGCTCCCGCCACCACCACTGCTCCTGAAGAAGGAGGAGCGAGCCTCACAGTGGGAACGCCATGTCTCCAAACTCCTGGAGGAGGGGGGGGGGAGGAGGCACAGCGTTGCGGCTGTAGTCTGTCCTCGGAAGCCTCAGATGGGCTGGGATCAGCTCGAGACCACAATCTGCCGAAGGGCGGATGCCTCCAGCAGGTCTCTCTGTCGCCTCCGCAGCGGCAGTCGGATGGCGAAGCGGGGGAGGAGGAGGAGGAGGAGGAGGAGGAGGAGGAGGAGGAGGAGGAGGGAGGAGGAGGAGGAGGGAGGAGGAGGAGGAGGAGGAGGCGCAGCGCAGAGGGGTGGTCGGATTCCGAATCTACTCTGCTCAACCGCCGCTGGCCCAGTGGCCAACAGAATAGCTTGGGCCCGCTCGAAGTCCTCGTGTGGGACCCCAACCTGAGCGAGGGATCGGTCCTCGCACAAGACATCCGACGGAGTGCACAATTAACACAGAAGTAGAGGAGGATGAGGAGAAAGAGGAGGAGGAGGAGGAGGAGGAGGAGGAGGAGGTAGCCGCTGCCTCTCGCGGGGAGGGCCTCCCTGCCCAGCCCTGTTAGAAAAGACGGGGGGTCCCGCAGGAGGGCGGCCGGCCAGGCACGACACCCGGCCAGATCGCGCCTTGGAGCCGGGCCGTAGCATCCGTGGCCGCGACGCCCGCGACCCGACGCGAGCAAAGACGACTAGCTACGAGAGGGAAAGGAACACAAACCTCTACAGCAACATGTACATCAACACGATGGCGCTGGCCGAGAAACGCCTCAACACGAACGCTTGCCCCGTCACCGCCTGCCTCGCCGCCAGCAGCCGCACTTGCACGGAGCCTGCACCCGTCTCCCCCTTGCTTGCCTCCCGCCTCTTCCTCGCTTGCCTCTGCCCCTCTCCCTCCCCCCGGGCTCCGCCGTCTCCGCGGCCGTCGCCCGGGGGTCCCGCCCGCCCTCCTCGCACGCCGGCGTGTCCAGCAGGCTCGGACTGCCGAGGCCATCTCTCCTGCCGGAGGGTGGGGTCGTCAAATGGGGTGTGGGGTGGGAGGAAAAGGCAGTCTGGGCCCGCTCGAGCCCGCAGCGAAGGGCTGCAGCGCTCGTCAGACCCCAGGCCGACGAGGCCACGCGGAGGGATGCAGAACCCAACAGCACCACCACCGCCAGAGCAACGCACTGCAGCCCCCCGTGCTTTCCTCCCCCTTCTGCTTAGATCGCTATCCCTCTTACAGTGCGGGCGCGGCCGCAAGGAACCCTCGCAAGAAGCCCGACCCTGAAAACCCGCGCGATGCATAGGAGACATCGGCGATGCATCGGCGACGCCAGCATGGAGAACATCGGGCTCCACATCGAGCCGCATCGCCGATGCATCGACGATACGGCGCGATCCTCCGACCCCATCTGCTCCGACCTCACCTGGGAGGCCTGGATCACCTGCACCCCTCCTGCCTCCCTCCTCGCTCCTCCCGTGCCTCCAGCCGCAGCCCAACCTCGTGCAGCGCAGGCCCCTGCCCGCTGCCGCGTCCCCCGGGGCCGCCCGCCGCGCGCCCGCCCTTGGTGGGGCGACGGTGCAGGCCGGCGCCGCACCAAACGGCAGGGAGGGCCCCCAAGAGACCCCCTGAGCAATCCCAGGAAACCCACAGGAAGCCACAAGACGGCCTCAAAAGAGGACACTTTTTCCTCCTGCTCATCCTCCTCATCCTGCTCCCCGTCCTCCTTCTCCCCCCTCTCATCCTCCTCCTCTTCCTCTCCCAAGTGGTTCGCCAAAGGGCTTCACTGCGGTTGGGAAACACGTAGCTCAATGGGTTCTGGCACTGGTACAACCCCGAAGGGTCTTTCTTAAACCCCTGGGCAATAATTCGAAACGAATTGACTCTTCCGAAGGCTCATTGACGGATTGGGACCCAAACAAAGATTGGAAAAGCATGATTCCCCCGCGGCGGCCACCGCACATGCCTCCGCAAGAGTCGTCGCCGCCGCCGTCGTCACGGCGCCAGGAGGAGAAGGAGAAACCCGCCGAGAGCTTAGAGGGGGGGTCCTCACCAGTGAAGAAAGTTCGCGCCCAGGATGGAGGGGGGAGGGGGGGGGAGCGGCGCAGGCCCGCCCGAGCCCGCGGCGACAGGCGGCAGCGCTCGCCAACCCCAGACCGCCGAGGCCACGCGGCGTGCGGCAACGGCGCCAACTGCAGCGGCAGTGATGCCCAGCGGGCCCGGATTACCGTGGCCACTGTATGGTTGGAGGGTGGGCTGGAGGGGCAACGATAGCGGGGGGACCAGCAATCGGGGGGGAAGCATCGACCTGGAATCGGCGGTACATCGCCGATAGATCGGCGAAAGGCCCTCGATAGCGAATCCGCATGTTCCTGGGCAGGTCGGGGCTATCAGGCCCCTATCTGCGATCGATGGGCGCTTGGGGGTCGATGCGCCCCCCTTTGCCTACACCCCCCTATTGTTGCCCCTGAGGGTTCAACATGATCACGAGGAGGACGAGGATGAGGATCCATTTCTGCACATGTTTGTTCGTCTTCTCTGGCGGCACAGCGCCGCCGGGGAGTTGATCACCCGCCCCCACCCCCGGCGGTAACGCTCCTTGTTGAGGGAGGGAGGCAACGACTGAACGTCATCAGTGCCATTCGCTAGAAGCTCTAAGGAGGAGGTGGAGACGGAGGACACCGTGCTGGCGCTCTGAGCCCGGGGCGAAGTCCTGCCGCCGCCAGTCTGCGAAAAACTGGCTGGGGGTCAGCTCCAGCCCTGGCGCGGACGACGACGATGACCACCACCATCACCACCACCACCACCTCCGCGGCGACGAGGACGAGGACAAGGACGACGACGAGGACGATGACGACGAGGGTGACGACGACGACAACGACGACAACGACGACGACAACGACGAAAGGGACGACGACGACGACGACGACGACGACGACGACGACGACGACGACGACGACGACGACGACGACGCTGAGAAGAAGAACTAGCTGGGAGTCGGCTCCAGCCTTGGTGTAACCGCGGGCGGGCCCGGAGGCCTGGAGCCTCGATGCAGGACGACGTCCGAGGAGCAGGAACGCCAGATCCGCCACCGTGCATTTTAATCAAGCAGTGGTATGCCCCAAGGCTCATGCAGCTGTGAGAGCGTGGGGGATTCAATGATTCTCATGCAAGGCCCGGAAGTCCCACATGCCAGAATTCCTGGGCGCTCCTGCGCGCTTGTGGCACTCCTCGCGTGGGCCTCTGGGAAGCCAAACCCGCCGAAACCACCTCCGACATGACCAACAGCCTTCCAGCCAACGCCCAAAAAAGGCTCAGGGGCCCAGGAATCCTGGGTAGCCGCAACGGACCGTCCTGAGGCTCTATCGGGGGCCTCTTGGGCCGTACTGGAAGCCCTGGGACGCTGGACCAAGAGGCCAAAGTCACTGAACAAATATGTCTCTGGAAGGATTTCGCAAACCTCCAGGACGACCAGAAAGGCCCCGGAAACGTGCCCAAGATCGCCTCCAAGGCGCCCAAGAGGGGCCCAAGAGGCCTCGAAGAGGCCCCCAAGAGGGACCCGAGAGGGACCTAAGAGGGAGAGCTCGAACTTCAATTTGAATTCCTCCGCCCGAGACGACCCCCAGGGCAGCAGCTAGGCCCCCAAGAGGACTCCAAGAAGATCCCAGGAGGCGGGACGAGTGCGAGGCCCACGGAAGGGGAGATCCAAAGATGCCTCTTGTTCACGACCCAGGCACGGTGGCGGGACGGGCTGAAGATCACTCTATCCGGCGCGCGCTGTAGCTTGCCACAGTGTTGCACGTCATGCTGAGCTTACGGCTAAGATGGCCCCAAGCGAGCCCAAGATGGCCCCAAGACCCCTCCAAGACGGCCAGATGGCCCCAAGAGGCCCCCATGACGCCCCAAGAGAACTCCAAGAGAACCTCCAGAAAGCCCAAATCATTGACGTAACTTTCTATGATTTTAGCGTTCTCACCATTTCGGGCTTCCGACGCTCAAAGATGGCCCCGTAGGCCCCCAAGATCGCCCCAAGACGGCCCAAGAGGCCCTCGAGAGGCCCGCAAGACGGCCCGAGAGGGCCCCAAGGCGTCCTCAGCCCTCAAGGCGGCCCCAAGACGGCCTCATAGACCTCCAAGACGACCTTGAAGTGACCAAAGAGGGACCCACGACTGCCCAGAGAGGGTCCCAAGACGGCATCCGAAGGCCAAGAGGTCCCGTAGAGGCCCCCAAGAGACCCCCAAGAGGCCTCAGCAGGCCCAGAGCAGGCCCCAGGAGGCCCCCAGGAGGTCCCCTCAGAGGCCCCCACGAAGCTCCCAGGAAACCCCCGGGAGGCCCCAAAAAGGCCTCATGAGGCCTCCTCTTCATCCTCCTCCTCCTCTTCCTCCCCCTCCTCCTCCTCCTCCTCCTTTTCCTCCTCCTCCTCCTCCTTCTCCTCCTCCTCCTCCTCCTCCTCTTCCATTCCTTCGCATTATAAATAACTTCACCCTGTCGCACCCCGAGGCCATTTCTTAGGGCGGGCCAAGAATTTCGCCTGACGTCCTCACCATTTTTGACCCTGAAGCTTACAAAATGACTACAGCTTTACAAATGGAGGGCGGGTGGTTCTCAACATGTGTCTCTCGCTATAGCGCCGCGCACATTCGTATTCAAAATTTGCAAGCGCTTCACGGATTGCGGGCGGGTCGTTTTCAAAATGTGGCTCTCGCCATGGCGCCGCGCACATTCGTCTTGAACATGTGCAAGAGCTTCACGGATTGATGGCGAGTAGTGTTCAAAATGTGGTTCTCGCCTAAGCGCCGCACGCATTCGTCTTGAACATTTGCAGAAGTTTCACGGATTGAGGGCGGGTCGTTTTCAAAATGTGGCTCTCGCCTTGGCGCCGCGCACATTCGTTTTGAACCATTGCAAGGATTTCACGGATTGCGGGCGGCTCCTCTTCGAAATGTGGCTCTCGCCTTCGCGCCGCGCACATCCGTTGTTTCTATTCCTCTTAATATACATATATGTATATATATACATATATATACATATACATATATAGATGTATATATATATAAATATATACAGAAAAACTGCTCAGGTTTCACGGATTGAGGGCGGGCCGTTTTCAAAATGTGGCTCTCGCCTTAGCGCCGCGCACATTCTGGATACAAAACTGCACAAAAAACGAATTCCCACGATCGACGTACAAGAAACTACGTTTTGGAATATTCACGATTTTGAAGGCGCAACAGTTAGGATGAGTCGCGGAGTTGAGGTCCCAAGAATGGCGTTCTGGCACGGTTCTGGATCGTCAAGACGCTGTCAGGTTCATCCGTGGCGTTGGAATGCCGAGAATAATGTTTTGGCCTGCTTCAAGGTCTTCGGACGGTCGTCTTACAACGAGGCAGGTCCCTCTGTGGAAATGAACCGTTGTCGGAGCCTATGAAGAGGGAGCTGGGGAGAAGGGCTTATTCCAACATCGTTGGTGACTCTTGGGTTTACACTTGTCCTCCTCCTCCTCCTACTCCTCCGCCTCCGCCTCCTCCTCCTCGTTTGCACAAGTCGTCGCTGGGGCGTTTCGCTCGGAAGACCTTCACGACCCAGGCGCTGCCCAGCCGAACGAATGGTTGCGAGGTGCATGGCACCTCGGACCACGAGCTGGCTGCCCTCCGTCGGTCTCTTGGCAAGTTTCTTGCTCCCACCGCTGGCGGCAGATCGCTGACTGCGGCCCTTCTCTTCGGACCCTACGTGGTACGCGTCTGTGGTTCCCATTGTGCATTGGTCTAAAGAAGTTTGGTCCAGCCTCGTCGGGTCGTTCGCCTTTTGTCTGTCCATGTCAGAGCTTAGGAGATCGTGGATGCAAGTCTTCAGGGGGCCCCTCCTTTCGTGGCGTCAGGTGAGGGGGCCCCTTGGAGCCATGCGGTAGTCTGTGGAGCGTCTGGGTTGGAGTATGCCGAACTTTAGCACCCTGGTCGATGACAAGGGAACTGAAGTGTCGTTAACTCTCGCCTCCCCTGCCCTCATCCTTCGGCTCCTCAAGGCTGCTGTCCTTAGGTGTCATGAGCGTAAGTTCGGTGAGTCTCTTGGTCTGGGGTGTAGGGCGTGCCGGGACGTCCACCTCGCCGCCATGTCTTCCTCGAAATTCTCGGCGTGGGAGAAGGGTTGCATCAGAGGACTCGCCTGTCAGGCCTCTTGGACTCTTGCTAGGGCCATCGAGGCTGGCGACCACCTCGAGGACGACAAATGCCCCATGTGCCGAGCCGCTCGCGACACTTTGTTTCATCGGTTGTGGAAGTGCTCGGCGGTGACCTCGGAGCGCGGCGCAGCGTGGCCCAAGGTTGATGCAACGTCGGAAGCGCCGAGCGCATGCGAGAAAGTCTCGAACGGCAGTCCTCAAGAGCATGTGAGGAAGGCTCGAACGGAAGCCGCAGAAAAGAGATGTGCCGCATGCGGCCTCCCACCCAGCGCCCCATCATTATCCCCATCCCTCTTTCCCCCTCCTTCTCCTGCATTATTTTCCTCCTCCTTGTTGCAAAGCAAGGAAGCCCAGAATACACAATGTTTGGCGCCCTTGGTGCAAGGAAGCGCTGTGTATGTTTTGTTTTTCTGTTTTGTTGTCGTCTAGGATGCAAGGAAGCACGGTGTTTTTTGTTATTATGTTTTTTTTGGTTTTGTATGCTCAAGTGCTCCCCGCTGCCTCCCCCCAGCATCTCCTCCTCCTCCTCCTTTTCTTCCGGAGTTCCAAAACCCCAAAGGACAACATATCCAAAAATACACCATGTTTCCTTGCATCCTAGACCCCCAAACAAAAACAGGAAAACAGAAAAGAAAAACAACAACAAAACGTGTCCTTGCACCAAGGGCGCCAACCACGGTGTATGTTTGGTTCTTGCTTTGCAGCGAGGAGGAGGAAAGGAAAGCAGGAGAAGGAGGGACAAATAATACACAGGGTGTGGCGCCCTCGGTGCAAAGAAACCTTGTGTATGTTTGGTGTTTGGTCTGAGAAGCAAGGAAACCTTATGTTTTTTGTTTATGTTTTTTTTGGGGGGGTGCAAGCCCCAACGCTCGCACTGGCCTTCCTCCCAGCACCCGTCGGGCCTGCAAAACTCCAAAAAAACATACGCAGCGTGTCCTTGCTTATCAGACCCAAGAATCCCCCCAGAAAAAGCATAAGAAACAAAAAGGGTGCCCTTGCATCGAAGCCGCGAAACATCGTGTATGCTTGATTTTCTTGGTCTGAGGCGCATGAGGTGCTGAGAGGGAGGCCAGCGCGAGCACTCGGGCCTGCAAAACCAAAGAAAAAGCAACAAAACCAGAAGTACTTCAGGAGGAGGAGAAGGAGGAGGAGGAGGGGGAGGGGGGAGGAGAGATCGATCGACGATGGCGGTACTAGAGAAGAAAATGTATGATCTTGGGGGGGCGAATATATGTGTATATATATGTGTGTGTATGTACAGTCAACCCGCATAATAAGAACGCACAATAAGGTGCAAGGGCCTTGAACGTCGACACTTCGCGAGCGGGGCGCGTCCAGCGAAAGCGGCCACGGATGGGCCGAAGGGGAAGGATGCCAGGGTTATCTTGGAAACTCGCTCAGCCTTACTATGCGGGTTGACTGCACCGAAGCAATGAAATCGGGCGCATGATCTCCATCCCCCTAATCATCACCCCCTCCTGCTCTCCTCCGACTCCCCGCCTGCCCTGCGCCACATCCCAATCGCGCAGTCATGCGGCGACGCCGCCTTGCGCTCCTGCAGTGCAGCCGCCCGGGTCCCCCCTTCTTCACCGTTCGCCCATGCGGTCCTGTCATGAACTTGGGGAGCACGATGGGAAATCTCATCTGGCCTCCAGGGGAGCTTCGAAAGCAAGGGCACTAATAAGCGAAGCGACCATGGGTGAAGTGAGAGGAAGCGGGCCTTCCCAAAAGGCTCGGAGAGGCGCTCTGGCCTTCTGAGAGGCTTGCTGCACCTTCTCCGAAGCAGTAGAAGGCGTCCTAGACGGCGTGAGGGCTTCTGCGAAGCCCCGCCGCATTCTGAGGAGACCTGCCCCTCTCCATTCCCCCCTAGCCGCGCGGCCGACAAACGAGCGCGCCGTGATCTGTGAGAGAAGGCGCAGTAGTGATCAGCGTCGAGTCGATAAGAAGGAGTCGGAGCAGAATGTTTATCGAATCGGGCCGCATCGGCACGGCGTCGGAATCGGATCCAGTCGGCCGCGCCACGATGCACAACAGCGCCTTTCGAACATCGGGCAGCATCGGATCGTCGGAACATCGGAGTCGAATCGGATCGGGCTGCACGAAATCTATATCGAATGAGGTACGAAGGGATTGGGAGGAGGCAGCGACGGGACAGACTCCAAGCAAGCGTCGGCGACTCCACTTCACACGCAGCCCACCTCGCTCTGTCATCCGACACGTGCCTGCCCCGCTTCCTCAGCCGCCTCCCCTGACAGACTCGCGAGATTGGATAAGCCTGCGACAAGCCGTGATCTGTGACCTCTTCCCCGCCATTCGGCCTCAAACTGCCTCTTCTTCTCCGCGACCCTCTGCCTGTGCACACATTTCTCCCCCACCCCCTGGCCTAGACATATGCATCAGTTTCTCCACCACCCCCTTGCATCAACTAAGCCCCAGGCCCCTCGCCCACTCTAGCGCGGTGTCCCAGACCATCTGTACTAATGAGGCACATCGCCGAATCTCCGAAGGGAAAAGCCCCCTCAAAGTGCGCAAACCTTCAAGGCATCCCGAGGCCCGAAAAGTCCCAGGGCACGTGCGAAGCATCCTTTGTCGCTACATGTGATCGCACGGTGGTAGTGAAACCCGAGGAGCTACACAAAGAGCAACACCGCGATCAGACTTACAGCACAGCGACGACAGTCGTCTGCTCCGCGTGTAGCGGGGAGCAGGTCCTGGTGAAAACAGGTAGAGGAGAGGCAAGAGGCGCACACGGATGAGAGCGCCCCAGACCTCTAGCGTCGCGAATATTGCACTCTCTCGATCACGCTCTCTTTCTCTCCCTCTCTCCTTGTCTCTATTTCTCTTTCTCTCTCTCTCTCTCTCTATCGCTCTCTCCCCCTGGAACTGCATGTGTGCAGATAAGCACATGAGCATATGTGCACAGACGTGCAGATGTACGTGTGGCTGAAAGCCACTCGCGCGAAACGAGCATGCATGGATCCGTCGGTGTGTAGATGCACACAGACATCTCCTAGGAGCGCGCGCGTGCTTCACGAGCTCTCGGCGCCCCGAGGGCTGGCCTCGATCCCCAAGACTGGCAACCGCAGCAAACGCCGAGTCCACGCTGGCCCATCCGCACGGGGACGGGCGCCCCCCTGGGGCGAGGAGGAGGAGGAGGAGGAGGAGGAGGAGGAGGAGGAGGAGGAGCCCTGGTCCACCGCCACGTCGGAGGCCACGGGCCCGAGAGAGAGCGCGCCCCTAAAGGCGGGGCGCTGCGGCGCGGCAAGGGGCCCCCGCGGCCCAGCGGCAACGGCCCTCCGCTCCGCGTGCGGCCGCGAGGCGCGTCCCCGGCGGCGACGGACAGATGAGCCCCGCAGAGGGCGCGGCAGAACGCTGGGAGGGTTGCCGAAGGTGCCCCTGGCCCAACGTGCCCACAGCTTTTGGCTCCACTTCGGAGCACCTGGGGCCCTCTGGGCCTCGTGATGGGGTGCTCTGGAGGCCGTGGGGGCCTCCCTGGAAATCCTGGGGGCACCTGGGGCCAGGGGCGCTTCGAGCAACACCCGAAGTGTAGAGGCCCCCTGGATCAGAGAGCAGGAAGAACCACCCTCATCAAAAGCACCCCGACAAGCGAAGCCGTTCAGTACGCGCGCCCAGGGAGGGAATCCAACAGGACAGGGCTGTTCAGAGAACGCCAAGGGCCGTTGAGTAAACGCCAATTATGGAGGGCGGGGTGGCTTTCCTCCATTGATGGATAGGGTCCGGGCGGGTGGGGTCGGAGGATAGCGCGGCATCGCCGATGCATCGTCGACGCATCGACGATACATCAGCGACGTCAGCGATGCACCAGCGCCGTCGGCGTGGAGAAAGCCGGGCGCCGCATCTGCTCGGACCCCATCTGAGAGGCCTGGAGGAGGTACGCGCGGGAGCGAGCGGCTAACACGCAAGGAGTGACCCTTGGCAAGAGTGACCCTTGGGTGCGCGGCCCAAGGGCGGGCCCCTTGGGGACACCACCAGGCGCGCAAGCCGCTGCCCTCGCATCGCATTCAGCGATTCAGCGATCGGGGGGCCCCACGGGGCCCGCACCAGAGGTCACCCCGGCGAAAGGTCCCTCTTGCGCGTAGCCGAAGTGGGCTCCTCGGCGGCCGCGGCCTGCAGCGGTGCCGGGAAGGGGAGCGCGTGGGCCTCGGGCCTCGGCCGAAGCCCGCGCGACTCCCGCTGCTCCCCCCCCCAGAGCGCCGACCATGGCAGCCCGACGGCGGCGGAGCTCGGCCGGCGTCTCCGACGGCGCCCGCAAGGATCTCCCGTCGCCGGGCCAGCTGCACGCAGCGGTGACCCCAGGCAAGGGTGACCTGTGGTGCGCGACTTAACGCGGGACGCGTGGTGGTCAAACCTGGGCGCGCAAGCCGCTGCTACGGTGGGGGCCCGACCATAAGAGACCTTCCACAAGAAACACAACCCTGAGACCCCAAGACATTCATGGATTTTTGGTACGGGTGGTGCGGGAGCGTCGCGCTTTCCACAGCAAAACCATCGAAACCCAAGAAACCCAGTGCACCCTGGAGGCAAGCAGGGTGTTTCTTGGCAGGGGTCTCCACTGTGCCGCTTCGCGCTCAGCGAGCTGGGGGCCCCATCGGGCCCGCACGACGGCTGCCGGCGAGCGCCCCGTGGCGGGGCAGAAGCCCAGGCGATGGAGCCGAGGGCTTCGTCGCATCACTCGGTCGGGCTCGTCTCGCGTTCGTTCGGTACGGCCGCCTGCGCGTGCAATTGGAAAACAGCAGCTGCCACTATGTTTTGCTGAGCGTGTCGCGGCGGCGGCCCCGGCGACACGCTATGCCCTGCCAGCGGATGGCGTGTGGCTCCGCTCCGCGGGGCGGGAGGCTGTCAGAAGCTCGGCGCGACACGCTGAGCTCCAGTTCCCGACCGCACGTCCGATCAGAAGGCATCTCGCTCCTTCGAAGTGCACTGCTGTGCACTCGGGGGGGGGGGGGGCGCGGCCCAGACCACGCTGGCACCGAGCCTCGGCACTGGCTCGGGCGAGCGGCGACAGGGTGGGGAAGGGGAAGGGGAGGGCGGGGGGATGGGAAGGGAGGGAGGGGGGCCCAACCTCCCGCCACACCCCGTGCCCACTCGCCAGAGCGGGCACGCGCGACTCCTTCCGCGCCTCCAGAGGAGGGCGCGGAGGGTCTGCCCCCCTCCGGGCGGCGGCGGCGCTCCCGACGCTGGGGCAATTCCGAAGGGGTCCTGGCGCCCGGCCGCCTCCGCCGGAGCGCCGCGCGAGGCGAAGCCCAGAGAGTGTCGCACGCTGCCGACGGACCGCTCGCGAGGTGGCCGTACCGACCACGCGAGCACGCGCGAGATCTCGTAAGGCCCTCGGCGGGCCAGCATGGAGCCAGCCCGTATCATCAGGATGGGCGGTAAGGATGCAAGGGCCTCGGAGGCCCATGCTAACGTTTCTCGAACGAGGCTGGCCAGCGAAAGTCGCCAAGGATTGGCCCAAGGGGCAAGGATGCAAGGGCACCCTTAGTACGGTTGCCCGTCCTTACTCTGCGGGCTGACTGTAGCTGCGACATGAACCCTTCCAAATTCTGGCGAGGTCTTCCAAACCTTTCCGCGTGGCTCGTCTGCACCCGCCAACGAGCTGTGGGCCGTACACGACCGCGGTGCGGTCGAACCAAAAGCAGAAAGACAGTAAGTGTGTGGGAGTCCCAGAAGCCCGACGAATGAGAGGGGTCCAGGGCAAGACCTCCCACGAGAATTGGACCACCGGCCGCAACAACGATGTCCCGCGGAAGCTCCTGGAGTTAAGTCTGAGAAGCCCGCACACGGGGGAAGGGAGAGGGGAAGAGGGAGGGGAGAGAGGAGGCTTCAGGAAGGGCTTCCCTTCAGTCTTCGCACGGCGGCAGTAGAAATGCTCCAAGGCACGGGGCGGGAAGATGCGGGCCGAACCAGGAACGAGCCAACAGCCAGCGTGGAACAAGCGGGCGCATGCAATGTCTCGTGGCACGGTGAGCAGATCCGTGGTCTCGGGGAGCGGCCGGACACACAGAGAGGCCGCGAGCACTGCAGCGACGACGTGGCGCTGTGGCTCGCGACGCGCGGAAAGGGGGTGGGGAGGCGAGGGCAAAGTGAGGGAGGAGGGGCGGGGGCGAAGGGAGGGATGGGGCGGAGGGAGGAAGAGGAGGAGGAGGAGGAGGAGGAGGAGGAGGGGGAGGGGGAGGAGGAGGAGGAGGAGGAGGAGGAGGAGGAGGAGGAGGAGGAGGAGGAGGAGGAGGAGGAGGAGGTAGGAGGAGGAGAAGAAGGAGCAGGAGGAGGAGGAGGAGAAGGGCCATATGCGGGATGCATCCCCCGCACTCGCCCGCGCGCGCCTCGCGGCGCGCCCCGCGGGCTGGCCCTAGCTGGCGGGAGCCAGCGCCATACCTCCGCGAAGCAATACACCGAGACCTAGAGGCTGAACCTCAAGATCTACATGCTGGACATCAACTTGTTGCTCGCCCAATCTTGCAGGCTAAACCTCAAGATCTGCAGGCCGAGCTTCGCGAACCACCAGCGCTACGAGTTCATCAGACTAGCTGTGAAGACATAACGGCAGACGCCATGCCGAGACTGAGAGCAGCGGCAGCTCTCAAGCGGATGGAGTATTATGTGAGGCACGGGCTCCAACCTAACCCAAAGGACATCATGATCATCACCACCACTGCTGCCTACAACAATGTTTCTGGCTACGCCGCCGCCGTCACGCAAATGAAATACGACGAGCTGCGGACCACGCAGCCAGGATTCGAAGGACCAGGCAGCCAAGTTCTCAGGATCATCATGGCAATAACAACCGCAAGCACGGCAACTACGACTGCGAGAACGGCAAATACGACCGCGAGTATGGCAACTACGACCGCGAGTAATTACCGCAAGTATGTGATCATAGAGGTACCCTCCCTTGGCGCAGACTGGCCCCCAGACGATGTTGCCTTTCAGAACTACGGTGTCAACCTGAGCTACGCGGGACCGCGGGACCCCAGGACTACGGCAACGTAGGCTACGACGGCTACCTGGACTACAGCTACAACGGCCACAGCCGTCTCCAGGGCGTCTACATCCCAGGCGAGGCAGGACGGGACTGGCTTCGGCTGGTCCCCCCTCCCCCACCGGCGCCCGGCAGATGAGTGGGCGACAACCCCGAGGAGGTGCTGGAACTACGAGAAGGCGCTGTGCTACCAGGGCTCTGGGCTAACAGAGTACTGACAGAGCCACGAGGGCCACAGACAGAACTTCAAGGGCATCACGCAGTGCCACAAGGGCAGAGGCCTCCTAGATGGGGTCCGCGTAGATGGGGTCGGCGGATCGCGCCGCATCGTCGATACATCGACGATGCATTGGCGACGTCGGCGGTGCATCGGCGACGTCGCCGTGGAGAGAATCGGGCTCCACATCGGGCCGCATCGCCGATGCATCGGCGGTGCGGCGCGACCCTCTGACCCCACCAGCTCCGACACAGTCTAGGAGGCCTAGAACGGGCCACCTGCAGAGCTCGCGGAACCACCCGCCGGGCGTCGAGAGCCCCCAGCAGAGCTGCAGGGGCCTTGTTGTTTCACTCCCTTCGAGCTTGACGTCCCGTGGCCTGAAACCGGGCAACAGAAACGTCTGGACACCGCGCGAGCCGACCCGCAGTAGGCAAACTCATGCAGTGAACCGTGGCCTGCAATTAACGGTGGCTGGCAGTCTGGCGTTGCGGCCGCCCCTGGCCAACCGCGGGGAGGAGGACAAGCCATGTTCAAAATTTACGATATACTACATCGAGGTAATCAATCTCTTTACACCGCCTGGATTACCTGGCGGGCATACCCGATGCGTAGATAATCCCTTCCCCGATGGGGTGCACAGGTTCCACAGTCGACACCAAACGTGTCAACCCGACACGCCAAAAGGGTGCCGCGGCGGTAGCTGCGCGAAGCTGTCCGGCGGGCGTGGGCGAAAAGAGGACCTGTCCGACGCTGTCCGCCGGGCGTCCTCGCTCGAAGTCGAGCCATGCCTCGTGCGCCGAATCGCCAGGCCGCTCCAGCGGCGCGGCAAGACGGCTCCAGGCACGTGCCCTTCGCACGTCCCTGCGGCATCGGCCGCCCCGAGGGCGGGGAGAGAGGCTGCGGTCACGGGACGCCCCGGACTCATGGCGGAGTGGCCGAGCGCGGAAGGAGTCCCCGCCCGCGACCACGCGCGGAGGAGGAGGCAGGGGGGGGGAAGCAAAAGCAGGGAGGAGGAACAGGGGCGGCGGCAGCAGGAGCGGCGCTGGCAGCCCCGTGCGCTCGTGCCGCGCCGGGCGCCCCAAGCGGTGAGGCGTGTGGCAGCCGAGCCCGGCGGCGCTGCGGGATGGAGCGACACGTGACCACGTGCGTACGCGCTCCCAGCCCCCGCCGCACGCCGCCCACGCCACGTGATGCAAGCAGGACTGCAAGAATGATAAGCAGAGCCACGTGGGCCACCTGCAGAGCTCGGGCACGAGCCACCAACAGGGCCAGGAAGGGCCACGCGCCGAACTTCCTGGGCAACCCGCAGGGCTGCGGTGGCCACCAGCGGAGCTGCGAGAGACACCAGCTAGCCACGGGGACCGCACGCTGAGCTGCGAGGGCCGCAGGCAGAGCCGCGAGGGCCACCAGCCGAGCTAGCACAGCAACCGGCTGAGCCACGGGAGCCACCATAACAGCTACAAGGGCAACGGCCTGAGCTACGGGGGCCGCAAGATGAGCTTCGAGGGCCACAAGCAGGGCCACCAGGAACACCAGCTGAACTACGAGGGCCACCAGTTGAGCTGACACGAGCAGAGCTACGAGTGCCTCCGGCAGAGCGGTCTTCGCCACGAGCCGAAGTACAAGGGCCACGAGCTGAGTCTCACAATCCACCGCCACAGTTATATATGAGGACCACTTGATGAGCTACGAGGGCAACAAGCTGAGCTGCGAGGGCCGCGAGCAGAGCTACGAGGGCCACCAGCTGAGATACGAAAGCCACCAGCTGAGCAACGCGGACCACAAGCTGAGCTTCGAGGGCCGCAAGCTGAACTGCGAGGGCCACAAGCAGGGCTACAAGGACCACCAGCTGAGCTACGAGGGCCACCAGCTGAGCTGTGATGACGGTCGGGAGCAGAGCTCAGAGAGCCACCAGCTGAGCTACGAGAGCCACTAGCTGAGCCACGAGGACCACAAGCTGAGCTTCGAGAGCCGCCAGCTGAGCTACGAGGGCCACACGCAAGGCTACGAGGACCACCAGCTGAGCTACGACGGCCACCAGCTGAGCTACGACGACGGCCGCAAGCTGAGCTGCGCGGGCAAGGGGCTGAGCCTCCCAAGACGGGCTCACCCGAGGAGAACGAGGAGAGCGACGAGCAGAGTAAGCCCATCTCCATCATGTACGCCGCACTGGAGGGTTTGGAACTCCTCAGGTCTACGATAGACGAGGGTGGGGCTATCACGGAGGAATTCGCCACCAAAGCCATCGCCAAACTCGTGAGCCCCGCTCAGAATAAGTCCCACGACACAATGACACCCATCGACAAAAGCACAAAAGCACTCGTGCCCATTACGAGGACAGGGATGAGATGGTCCGCGAGCTGGGGCCCGCTGGAGCCATCACGGCGCCCCCGTCCCCACGACAACTACGAGGCGCACAAGGATCAGATACCTATGGGCCAGCGGCACATGCCTTGCTCCGCCGAAGAACTGCTACGACGGCAGGATGACACGCCAACCGACAGCGACCAGTGCTCAGATGGCGTCGAGGATGGTATTGCCTCCCCGAGCGGAGACATCTGGAAGGCAGGGTACCTGTGACCTGGCCAGCGACGCCTATTGGGCGTCTCTAGCAGCCGATCTCGAGTAGACGGCGAGACTGGCCAGCCTGAAATCGCACGACTACGTGACCTGAGATGGCAGGCACACGTTGCCACCCTGGGGCTGCTTAGACTCCAAACAGTGCGTCCTTTTTTCTGCCTCCTCGTGCAGGCACTGTTTGGAGGCGTGCTCTCGGGGTCCTGGGGGAAGGGTGGTCTGCATTGTTCTGTGAGGCTGAGTCCTCCTTCTCCCTCCCTCTCCTCCCGGGATGGGTAGACCAGAGCAGCGAGCTTTGCTGTGCTACTGCGTACCGGCTCTTTTCAGGTGCTCGGTCATTGGGAGCGCGCTTGAACGGTGCGAGAGAAAAGGAGGAGGAGGAGGAGGAGGAGGAGGAGGAGGAGCGCCCGTAGCAGAGAGAAGGAGGAGGAGGCGGAGGAGGAGGAGGAGGAGGAGCAGGAGGGAGGGAGGGAGGCAGGGAGCGGGAGAGCCTCTCCAGGGGCTCGCGTCCGCGAGGATGTACCGCAGCCGCAGCCAGGGCGGCTCGCAGAACGGGCCGAGGCACACGACGCTCACCTGCCCCGCCCGAACGGACGAGCAGGATGCGTTTCCTACCAGGACGCCGGCGGCGTTGCATTTGAGGCTCCTCCTCGTTCTCCACCCTCCTCCTCCTCCTGCTCCTCCTCCTCCTCCTCCTCCTCCTACTCCTGCTCCTCCTCCTGCTCCTCCTCCTCCTCCTCCGCCTCCTCCTCCTCCTCCTCCTCCTGGGCGCCGCGGCCGCCGCGACGGACTTCTGAGACCGCGGCGTTGCATTTGAGACTTCCGAAGGCGGGTGAAAGCGTCCCGCGACGACCTGGCGGGCGAAGCCGAGCGGACCTGAGAAATCGGCATCGCCAGTCTCAAGAATCCCTTGCCCTGCGGTCCCCTTGGAACCACATGAGAGCAAGCGTCCTCACGTGAACCTCATTCGGGAACCCGGATCAACCCAAACCTGGGTCGGCCAGGACCCTGTCGCAAATCCCGGCCAGCCGCTCAATAGCTCTCAAACCCGGGCCAGCAGAGGGCAAAGATGGGGAATCGGCCCCACGTGGCTGCCAAGCCCGGGTCAGCAAAGGAGGTCAGCTGACACCCGTTGGCGCTGACCCCCGTTATGTAAGCCCCGACTCAGACCCCTGCAAGTCAGATTTCTGAAATGCCAGTTGGGGTTCCGAACTCCGAGGATGTGTGCGGCCAGGCGAGACCCAGCGGAGGTGTCCGATACCCCAGCGTCGATGGGACTCGCAGGGGTACAGTCAAAACTGATAGCAAGGATGCGCGATATGGATGTAAGCCCCTTGGACGCCCGTGTCGAAGCCTTTTCGAGCGCAGCGGGCCATCGAGAGTAGTCAACGATGGACCACAGAGGCACGGATGCAAGGGTACCCTTGGGAAGGTTACCCATCCTTACCATCGGGGTCGACCGTAGGGATCGCAGTCGTCGCCCGAGGAGGGCGCCATGCCAGACACCCAGCAGCTAGGAAGAAGCCCGAGGCGGCAAAGGTGTCTCTGCTATGCTGGGCCCCTCTGGGGCTGGCTCCCTGCTCCAGAGACCGTCAACAAAAAACGGCTCGGGATGGAAGGAGCGGCCCCAGGAGAGGGGGGTCACCCCTACAGTCAGGTCGGGCATGTCCCCCATACAGGGGGATGTTGGGCGAAAACTTGATAAGTGACAGAAAATTGTCAACATGTTTTTTTTTAAGTCGTTGAAAGATCGTCCCCAGACTATTTTTAGACTATTTTGGAAGAGTCCTCCTGTAGAGGGACACGCCCGACTTAACCCTACAGTCAAAACTGATAGTACGGATGCGCGAGAAGGATGCAAGCCCCTTGGACGCCCGTGTCGAAGCTTTCGAGCGGGGCTGGCCATCGAAAGTGGTCAAGAATGGACCGAAGAGGCAAGGATGCGAGGGTACCGTTGGGAAGGCCACACGTCCTTACTATCAGTGTTGACTGTAGTGGAAAGCCACCTCCCGGAGGACGACCCATCGGGACCCCCAAAGCCGCCCGGAACCTCCCAAGACGATCCCAAACATTGACCAAACCTACTCGATCTTCGGCATCGAACCTCCATCCTCAGGAGGAGCTAGTAGACCCCTTTAGCGGTGACCCTCCTTGGCGTTCCCTGACGGCCCCAGGGGAGGGGGTCGCGGGATCCAGAGGCCGACGTCTTGAAAGCATCGAGGCGCCAGGCGTCTGGGACGATTGTGGCCCAAGCGCTTCACCTGCTCCTGCTCCTGCTCCTGCTCCTCCTCCTCCTCCTCCTCCTCCTCCTCCTCCTCCTCCTCCTCCTTCTCGTCCACCCTCCTCCTCCTCCTCTCCTCCTCCTTCTTATCCTCCTCCTCATCCTCCTCCTCTTTTTCCTCTCCTCCTCTCCTCCTCCTCCTCCCAGCCTCCCTCACCTCCTCCCTTCCCTCCCTCCCTCCTCTCTCCCTCCCTCCCATCCTCCCTCCTCCTCCTCCTCCTCCTCTCCTCCTCCTCCTCCTCCTGCTCCTTCTCGTCCTCCCCCTCCTCCTCCTACTCCCCCTTCTCCTCCACTTGACCGTACAAGTGTCGCTATGCCAGTTGAGTCAGTCAACACGCTGGACATGTGAACGAGATGGGTGTGCACAGGTCGAAGGGCATACACAGTTCGAGGGCAATTGATCAAGGGGCAGCGAGCACAAGACAGATACGAGCACGTTCAAAGACTGAGAGACAATACAGCGCTGAAGCAACAGGAGAAGCGTTCTGGATTTGAGGCGAAAGGGAGGCAATAAGAGAAAGCACTTGATCCTCTTCCGCCTCCTTCACCTCCTCTTCCTCGTCAGCATCATAACAAATACCACTAACATCATGATCAGCACCATCATCAGCATCATCAGCAGCATCACGTTCGCCAGCATCAGCACCATTGACATTATCACAATCAGCATCACCATTAGTATCACCATCAGCAGCATAAGCAGTATCATCAGCATCAGCATCATCAGCATCTGAAGCATCATCATCATCATCAGCAGCAGCAGCAGCAGCAACATCATCAGCAGCATCATCATCCTCGTCCTCATCCTCATCATCATCATCAGAATCAGCATCATCCGAAGCATCAGCAGCATCATCATCATCAGTATCGCCCAGGATGGGGGGCAGAAGAGGGGCGGTGCCCTAGCAGCAGCATCATCAGCAGCAGCATCAGCATCATCATCACCACCAGCATCATCATCATCATCATCGTCATCAGCAGCATCATCATCATCATCAGCAGTATCAGCGTCGCCAGTGTCATCAGCATCATCAACATCATCATCACCATCATCATCGTAACCATCATTATCAGCAGCATAATTATCATCAGCGACACCCAGCAACATAATAATCGTCATCAGCCTCATCATCATCCTCATCGTCATCGTCATCCTCATCATCTTCATCCTCCTCCTCATCGTCATAAACAGATCCTCGCCATCGCGATTGTTGTCATCATTATCATTGTCATCGGCCTCAGCATCATCATCATCAGCAGCAGCAGTAGCAGCATCACCATCATGATCATCAGCAGCAGCATCATCATCACCGTCATCACCGTCGTCGTCTTCGACGTCATCATCATCAGGTCTCGACCCAGCACGGCGGGTTGGGTGCCCGCGGCCGCTCTCACTGACCCCAGCACTGGCGGGAAGTCCTCTCAGCCAACGTGGCGCCTGTTCAGGTCAAGGCGCCGCCCGCCGCGCATGGGCGCCAGGCCTGGCCGCCTCGCAGGCTGCGGCGCAGCGCCCTGCGGCGTCCTTCGCAGACGGCGTCCTGGCGGACACTCGGCCCTCCGAGACCTCGTCGGGCCTGCTCTTCGACCTGGCGCCGGACACCTGGCACGCCGAGGACGAGACGCCCAAGGATCGAAGGACGTGCACAGCGGCACTCGTTCAGTCGGCCCCAACAGGCAGGCCGCGGCCAGGCAGGCCACGCGCGGCCTCGAGTACCAGCGTTCACGGCGCTCGGCAGGGTCACGGCAAAGGCTTCCACACGATCGGGTACCCAATCCTTCGTGCGCTTGCGAGCACGGCTGTCCAGCTCGGCAGACGAGGAGAGAAGCGTGCCTGGACTTGATCGACGCTCTGGTCAAGATACGCATGCAGCTCACGAGGCTGTTGCGAGCCAAGAACATCCTGGCTGCGGTGCCCCAGCGGCAACCAGCTGAGTCGCTACGCAAGCGCGGTCTGGCCTTGCCTTGCTGGCACCGACGTCGGCGATTGCCCAAGCGTGCTCGCCGAGTGGGTCCTTCAGGCGCCCCAATGATGACCGTGATTAAGGACACGGTGAGCAACACTGAGCACCTGCTCCAGCATCGCCGCCGCCGTGGCAATAAAGTCCTGTGCAAAACAACGCATCAGACGTAGCAACATGGATATTTTACCTTCTGGGTCAAGCGCGGAGCGCACACCAAGACGTCGAAGCTCTCTGTGCTCAGACTTCCGTGTCCTGGAGACCAAACCCATCAACGACAAGATGCAGCATGTGCTGAACAGCTGGACTGTGGCAAGGTGCCTCATGGCACGAACATGGGGCCTAAGCCACCACAGTGGGGAGCTCGCACCGTGGAGGCGCCACCGGGGCTTGCACACCCGCATGAATCTCCGAACAGCCCGATGTCACGTCGCGGCGGCTCTGAAGGTGGGACCCCTGCAATGACTGCGGAGCCTGGGCCTAGTGAGTACACTGCGGGAAGCGTCTACAAAAACTACGACGACGACCAAGGGCCAAGGCCCGCACGCGTGCGTGGTTGTGCTGGGGCAGGCTACCAGTCCGTGGACAGCTTCCTCAAGGCGCCAACCGAAGACCCGGCGAACATCACGGCGCTTGCGGACGCCTTGAGAATCGTGGCGCGGGACCTGGAGACCATCATGGACAGGCTCGCGATGTAGGTGACCAACAACATCGGCATACTTTGTCGCATCCCATTCTTTTTGGACGGTCCCACTGGAGCGAAGAAGGGGCCTACGTCAGCATGTAGGCGCCAAGACATATGTGACGTGCCCATCATCGGCATAGCAAGATCCACTCGATCACAAAGTCGCCTATCAACCACAAACACTGGGCGGCCGATCACATGAAGAAACCGCTCCCATCACTGAAAATATCCCAAAATGGGCAACATTAATCTCCCAAAATGAGCGAACTGTATTGTTTAGTACCGAATCTCAAAGCCGAGAATTGGCATCTCCAAAATTTCGTAAAATATGTTGCGCCTCTCAACACTACATCTCGAAAACAGAAAATGGAAATCTCCCCGAAATGGGCAACATGGACTTGCTTCCATTACAAAATTTCAAAAACAGAGAATGACAATCTCCCAGCATGGGCAGCATGGATTGCGGGCGCAGCTCTGCTTGTCCTCGGCGTCATCACACGTAACACGTCGTTTGACAAAAAGGCGTTTCCGCACACTCCCGCCAGCTGCAATTGCAGCCGCGTCGGCCTGGCCCGGTGCGGAGGACGCCTGCGTCGCGCTGCCTGGTCATCTCGCGGCTGCTTCGCTGGCTCGCAGCCACGTATATGCTCCTCGCTCGCATGCGTTGAACGCGCGTCCATGTCTGCGTTCTGGCCGTGGTCGCATGCCGTGCGCTGCGCAAGGAATTTCTGCAGGCACAACTTTGCTGTGTCCCTTTGTACTCTGCGCGACCGTGCCAGGAAGGTCATGGCCAACATCGTCATCGGCAGCAGAAAACCAGCTCGTTCGTCATCACCATCGCCATCATACCCATCAACAATAGCAGCATCATCATCACTCCTGAGCCCCCCCGAGGAGCAGCCGAGGAGAACTTGGAAAGGGAGGAACTGGAGAAGGAGGAGAAAAAGGAGGAGGAGAAGAAGGAGGAGCAGGAAAAGGATGAGGAGGAAGAGGAGCGGGACAGGTGGGGCGGAGGAGGAGAAGGAGGAGGAGGAGGAGGAGGAACTGGAGAAGGAGGAGGAGGAGAAGGAGGAAGAGGATGAGGATGATGGGGAGTACCACTGCCCTAGGAAGACCCGTCTCCTCGATGGAGCCCCTGGCACTCGAATGCCGAGGCGCGCCATGGTTTTCACCCTTGCACGCATCAGAATGCTCGCCTGATCCTGCCCCCGAAAGCCTTGATTCGAGCAGGGCCCGACCGTCCTGGCATTCCAATAGGCCTACTACATGTTCTAAAAACAAAGACAGTGTTCCCAGAGCATAAAAACCGATGTGCTGAAACAAGAACGCTTCAGCCAAAAATAGTCGAAGAACACGTTGTATAAACCAAGAAAAGGTTCTTAAAAGACTCTGTGGTGGGCGTATAGGCAAGCCAGGACGCTTCGCCACTGCTCGACTTGAGGAGGAGGAGGAGGAGGAGGAGGAGGAGCAGGAGGAGGAGGAGGAGGAGGCGGAAGAGGAGGATGTGGAGGAGGCGCTCGTCCGTCAGAAGCCGGCCTAGGGGCAGGCTCTTACGGGTGGGCCCTGCGGGCAAAGGGGATGACCTCGACGCGGGTTCGCGCGAGCTCTAGCTGATGCTTGTTCGAGCGGGGGTCTGCCCCATCACCTCGGCCTCGGAAGAGCAGGTCACGGCGGTAGTTACAGGAGGAGGAGGAGGAGGATAGCCGACACACCGTCCCCCGATGGGCGCCATCTGGACGACCTGCTGGCCCGCGTTCAGCTGCTGGCTGACCGGCGCCGCATCGAGCCTGGCGCTCTCGCGGGCGCCGTTGTCTTCGTCCACCCCCCCCTCCCCGTCCTCGTCCTCGTCCTCGTCGTCGTCGACGTCGTCGTCGTCGTCATCGCCGACGGCGTCGTCATCGTCGACGTCACCACGGTCTTCGTCGTCCTCCTCGTCCTCGTCCTCGCCCTCGTCCTCCTCGTCCTCCATGTCCTCCTCCTCCTGCTCCTCCTCCTCCCTTTCCTCGTTTTCCGCTGTCAGGGGAGAAGGGTGGGGACATGGAGGAGAAGGTGGGGGAATGAGCGAGGAGAAACGGGAGGTGGGGCGTGGGGCGTGGCCTGCGCGAAGCAGGAGGAGGAGGAGGAAGAGGAGGAGGAGTTGTCTGGAGATCGGGGCCCTATTCTAGCAGGTGGCGCGCCATGCCTGGTCAGCACAGCAGCCCCTTGTATGTCGCTGAATCCAGCGGTGCGGCCGCCGCGTGTGCCGACAGACGTCCCGCAGCATCCGCATCCACAGAATGATCAGTATTATCGTTACAACCGTCCTTCCCGTATTAACGGTCGGAGGTCAAAATCGTCATCTTCATCGTTGTCATTGACACCTCGCAATAGTCCACATAATAACATACTTCCCTATCCTCTCAATATCATCCTCATCCTCGCCACCCTCTTCCTCCTCCTCCACCTCCTCCTCCTCCTCCTCTTCCTCCCTCTGCCTCGTCATCATTCATCCACCTTCTCCGTCTTCGTCCACTTCTTCCGCGTCCTCGCGCAGGCCTCCCGCAGACCCTTGGCTGATCGGCACACGTCTTGGTGCGTTCGCACCGCTCTAGCCGCGTTGGCGACCTCTGATCGCTATTGGTTCTGCCTTGTCCTCGTCCTCATTCATCCGCCTCCTCCTCCCCCTCCTCCTCCTGCTCCTCCTCCTGCTCCTCCTCCTGCTCCTCCTCCTCCTGCTCCTCCTCCTGCTCCTCCTCCTCCTCCTCCTCCTCCTCATCCAGCCTGTCCTCGTCAACCTCCTCCTAATCACTCCTCCTCCCCCTCTTGCATCCCCTCCTTCCACCCACCCATCCCATCCTCCCGCCCTCCCCCCGTCTCCTGCTGTCCATCCTACCCCTTCCTTCCTCCACCTCCTCATGCACCTCCCCCTCCCTACTCTTCCGCCCCCTCCTCAACCCTCACGGCATCAACGAACCTTCCCCCCCCCCCGAATCCCACCGCCAGCGCCGCAAGAAGATATGCGAAGATCAATAGTTTGGGCCCCCAGACGGAAGGCAGGGGGCGCGTCGGCGCAGAGCTCCAGCACTCTGAAAAAATCAGGACGGTCGGCGCGTGTTGAGCTCGGACCTCACCGGACGGCCGGCTACGGGCCCTCAGACCAGCAGAAATCATGGAGATCAAGAGCTCTCTGGGGCCCGTCGGACTAGATAACATCAAGGCGTCGGAGGTTTGTGAGATCTCGAGGCCCTTGCTGCAAATACCCGGCGCGGGAAATCCAGCAGAAGGATCGCGTCGGTTCAGTAAGCCGTGTACAGACCGCAAGAGGCAACCAGCGACTATCTAGTGAAGCCTTTTCTGAAGTCAGAATGCGAGCGTCACGAGCACCGCAGTGGGTCTGGGCGTATGCCCGTTGCAGCAAGGAGCTCGCGTGCTCGGGCAATCGGCGAAAGGTAGCAGCCGTGCCTGCATGCCTGCATCTCCACAGCGGGCCCCAAGTCGGCCACCAGCGTGGCGGCGCAGAGGGGGCGATGCACGGGGCCCTCGAGCAGAGCCCGCTCCCCGCGCAGAGGTGCAATCGCGCGCGCACCCGGGGTGACGTCCAAAACCGTAGCCCGCCCCATGAACGGGGTAGCAGGTGCACTCGATGATGCGCACAAGGCATCACGTGCAGGGCGGGGGCGCTCGTGGAGACGGGCCTCAGGGAGTTGGGGTCGTTGACGATATACTGCACGCCGAACGCCTGCAACGCCGTAGCACCTGCGTGGGGGAAGCGGCGGGGCAAGCATCAAGCTGCGACCGGCAGGGGGAGAGGGTGCACCGGGAATACCTCCCGCAAAACAACAGTAAGAAACGACAGAGGGGGTGAAACAGCAAACTCTGAAAGCATAGACTGCTAATAACATATGATGATCGTGAAAGAATTGCCATGACCAACATCATTATCGTAATAATGAAAAGAATAATGATGATAATGATAAAAATACAAAAAATAAGAATCATCCTCCTCATCATCATCATCAGCATCATCCTAGTCATCATCAGCAGCATCATCAGCAGCATCATCCGCATCATCATCATCATCATAATCATCATCAGCATCATCATCCTCATCATCATATCACTTTCCTCATCATCATCAGCAGCATCATCATCCGCATCATCATCATCATCATCATCATCATCATCATCATCATCATCATCATCATCATACTCATCATCATGATCATCATCATCAGCATCAGCATCATCATCATCAGCATCATCAGCATCCGCATCATCATCACCATCACACCATAATCACCATCGCCATCATCATCATCATCATCATCATCATCTTCTTCATCTTCATCACCAGCATCATCATCAGCACCACCACCACCATCATTATCATCGTCAGCATCAGCATGATCATCATCATCATCATCATCATCATCATCATCATCATCATAATCATAATCATAGTCATAATGTTCATCTCCATCTCCATCTTCATCTTCATCATCAGCATCATCATTACCAGCAGCAGCATCAGCAGCAGCAGCATCTGCATCGTCATCGCCATCATCATCAGTCCCACCATCATCATCATCATCATCGTCGTCATCATCATCATGATCAGCATCATCATCAGCATCATTCGTATTATCATCGTCATCACCATCAGCATCAGCAGCAACAACAATAGCATCATCATTGCCATCATCACCATGATCATCATCATCATCATCATCATCATCATCATCATCATCTTCATCATAATCATCATCCACATCAGCAGCAGCACCAGCATCATCATTATCAGCAGCAGCATCAGCATCCTCATCCTCGTCATCGTCTTCATCGTCATCATCGCCATCATTATCAGCAACATAATCGTCAGTACCATCATCATCAGCAGCATCATCATCGGCAACATCATCATCATCACCACCATCGCCATCGTCGTCAGCATAAATACCGTCAGCATCAGCGTCGCCAGCATCGTCATCATCCTAATCACCGTCACCACCGCCATCATCATCGTCATCATCAGATTCATCATCATCGTCAGTATCATCATCGTCATCCTCATCATCAACATCATCATCCACATCATTGTCGTCATAATCATCTCCATCATCCTCATTACCATCATCAGCATTACCATCACCACTATCATCAACAACATCGTCGCCATAATCATCATCATCAACATCAATCATCCTCAGCCTCACCTTCCCCACCACCTTCATACATCAGCATCACAGTTCACCACCATCGCCATCAGACTCAATACCATAGGCATCATCACTACCACAATCATCATCAGCATACGATCGTCATAAACATGATCAGTATCATCACCATCACCATCAACATCACCATCACCATCACCATCATCATCACCATCAGCACCATCACCATCACCAGCACCAGCACCAGCACCATCACCATCACCATCACCATCACCATCATCATCATCATCATCATCATCATCATCATCAACATCATCGTCATCATCATCATCATCATCATCATTATCATCATCATCATCCGCACCACTACCATCACATAAGTGCCATTATCGTCGTTGTCGTCGTCATCATAGGGCTGGGGACGGCCGGGGGCAAGGCCTGGCGCGAGACACTGGCGGCAGCGCACTGCCGCACAATGGCCGGAGACGATCAGATCGACGGCGGGCCCAGGGGGGAAGGCAGAGGGAGCGGGCCGTCTCAAAGACTTCGACGGCCTCTGGCCTTCCCAGGAGCCTTCTAAGCCTTCTCCCAAGCCCCGCCGCATTCAAAGAAGGCCCGCCCCCTCGCCGCGCCACCGATCAAAGACAGTCGACTACTACCCGCCATCCCCGATCGGCGGAAGGGCTGGCAGAGGAAGCTGGCGGCAACGAGGGGCACCACCAGGGCCAGGGGCAGTCGGGGGCAAGCGGCGAGGGCCATTGGCGGCAGCGGGGGGCAGAGCCAAGGTAAGGACAGTCGGGGCCGATGGGGGACAGGGCTGGAGAGAAATGTGCGGCAACGGACGGCAGTGTCTAGAGCTGCTCATGAGACCGCTCAGTGCGGGCACAGCTCGGTGAAAGACTGCAGGTCCCTCCCTCGTTTCGAAATCCCATCAGCCCTTTAGGGCGTAGATTGTTTAGGGTGTTTCCTTTTCCCCCCTTCTTCCCCTTCGGGGAGGGGTTTACCCCTCCCCCAACCCCATCCCCTGGACCCGGACGGGGGGTTCCGCGAGCGGTCAGGGCGTCCAAAACGGCCGCGGCGAGGAAGCCAAAAGCTCGGCGAGGGTTTGGGCCCCATTTTCGGGGGCGGCGCTAATTGAGACCCCCCCTTCTTTGATCGATCTCCTCGAGATGGCCCCACGAGCGCTCCCAAGGCTCCCACGGGCGCCCCAAGAGGGCCCCAAGAGGTGGCCAGGAGGCCCCAAGAGGCCCCCAAGAGGCCCCCAGGATGCCCCCAAGAGGCTCCCAAGGGACCCCCAAAAGGCTCCTAAGAGGCCCCCCATAGGCACCCAAGACGCTCCAAGAGGCCTCGGCGACAATGCCAAAATCATTGATTGTACTAAGGTTTTGGCCACAGTTTGGCCTCCTGGGGGGGGCACTGCTTAAGATGATTCCAAGAGCGCCTGGGAGAGCCCAAGATGACCTCCAAGATGGCTCAAAATATCCCAAGATGCCTCAAGATGGCTCCCACGATGCTCCAAGAGGCCCCAAGACCGCTCCAAGGCGGCTCCAAGTGGCCAAAGAGCTCCCCCAGGAGGCCCCGAAGAGGCCAACATCCTTCCAAAACCGTGGGAAAATCAATGCTGTTGGCTGTCTCGCCTTTTCGCTTCCGATGGCCATCCGAGGCCTCAAGATGGCTCCAACATGCCCCAAAAACGCTCCCAAGGCTCCCAAGAGCGTCCCAAGAGGGCCCCAAGAGGCGCCCAGACGGTCCCAAGAGGCCCCAACAGGCGCCCAAGAGGCCTCCAAGAGGCTCCCCAGAGATCCCCAAGAGGCCCCAAGAAGCTCTCCGAAGCACCCAAGACGCTCTAAGAGGCCTCCACTGGGGGACCCTTCCTCTGTGTGCTGTCCACTTCCCTGATCGAGGCAATTCCTCTGGGCATCGTTTCTGGATGGGCTGGTGGGGTTACACGAAGCGTCTAGAAGTTCATCCGCACCCGCTCCAAAAGGGAGCAAGGGTCTCCAGAGTACACCCCATACAGTCGACCCGTATCAGAAGGACGCGCGATAAGGATGAAAGGGCCTTGGAAGGCCATGTCGACACCTCGCGGGCGGGGCGTGGCCAGCAAAAGTGGCCAAGGATGGACCGAGGAGGCAAGGATGCAAGGGCACCCTTTGGAAGGTTGCCCATCCTTACTCTGCGGGTGGACTGTACGCCCTCGAGGCGACTAACAGGAAGAGATCAGCAACCCTAAGACGGGCGCAAGACGGCCCCAGCCCCGCAGAAGACAGGCCAGGGAGCGCCCAGAAACTTCACGACGCGCTCTCCAGAAGCGGCCCCAGCTTGGCCCCAGGCAGCCCCATGGCGTTTGTAAAATGAGCAAGGGTGGCACAGAGTACAGAAACATGCCACCTGTCAGTCCAAGTCGAAAACCAAATCAACAATCGCGTAACCCGCGAGCGATCATAAAACTGGTCGGGAAAGTTGTACAACGAAAAAAAAATGGCCCTCCCTTCCAGGTCGACCCTGATGTGTTGGGAGAGCTCGGTAAAACCGTCGCGCCCGAAACGGTCCACAAGTCTCATGGGGACTCGCGGAGCCTCCGCAGGAAACATGGCAGGGAGCCGCGGTAGGATAGTGGCGACCGTGGTAGAACGATCCCAGAGTCGCCTCGATACAGCGCTGGCACGGTGGCAGGATTTGCGGCACGCGGATGTAGATCGTATGTTCAAATGCACCGCTGAAAGCTGGATTCGAGCAATCGTGACAGAAAGGAGCTGCTGGCTGCCTGGGACTCGCCTACATACCCCAGGCTTGTGAGCTCGCTGGGTTAGCCTCCTTGGGCCAGCAACCAGCTGCGGAAGAGACGTTGTGTTGCAACAGTATGTGCAACATCAGTCGCCTGCAAGCTTAAGCCGATGGCGCACGCATGTCGTGTAGGCTCCGGGCTGCGTGCAATCAAATATACACTCGGGCCCCCTGGTTGAATTGCCCGTGGCGGGAGCCCGACGAAGGGCGTGTGTTGGGTGCCCCTGTCGTTGACGCTGGCCGCTGTACAGAAGGGCTAACGGACGAGAGCCTACCAAAAGGACCTATGTAAGACAAGATCAAGCAGGACAACCTCATCATCGACGCAATTACTTCAGGAATCCCATCTGGAACCGTTCAAGTCTGAACCTGCACCAATTACATAACGCTACAAGGTGGGAGGATAGGAAAGCTTCTGGTTAGGAAAACCTTTTCGAGATGCTGATGACGAAGCTACGCGGTGAGCTCGCATTTACATAACGACATGCGAGCTACGCAATGCAGACTGGGCCTCAACGACCTGTGGTTATACATACATATATATATATATGTCGTAAGACCAATGAAATAACAATTATGACGGATCCTTCGTCGTCTTCAATACACTCATATATATATATATATATATATATATATATACATGTATGATATATGTATATGTATATATACATATATATATATATATTCATATCAGATATACATATACCAGAGTGAGAGGCACCGACGGTCTTGCACAATCCCTGGGTGCGTCGGTGAACTGGGATTCCGTGGCCCGGAATCTGCTGGTTGGCTGTT